ACTATGATATTGTGAGACAACAAATACTAACAAGGGACAGTATGACCTTATCTCAAGCCTACTCCTTGGTGCATAGTGAAGAGACTAGGAGAAAGGTTATGATGCAGCATCAGCCCTTCCCGCCAGCCTTGGCAGCAGTTAAACCCAAGTCTGGGGGTGATACGGAGAGGGATATAAAGAAGGAAGATAAGCAGGATCTAGTGTGTGAACATTGCAAGAAAACCTAAGCATACTAAAGACACATGTTGGAAGTTGCACCCTCATCTAGTTCCAGCAAAACTGATGAACAAAAGGAGTAACGCTCATATGGCTATTAATACCAATTCTGCATCCTCATCAAGCACAAAAGGCACGCCTCTAGACACCTTAGCTGCTGTCCGGGCTGCTCTAACTCAGTTGGAAAATGAAGTTGGGAATTCAGCTCAATCATCTCAGCCATCATCAGCTCCTCCCACATCAGCCTTTGCTCATTCAAGTACTCGGGCCTCAGCTTACCATGCTTCAGGTCCAGGTAACACTGAACATTGTTGGGTAATAGACTCAAGTGCATCTGACTATATGAGTAGCTTGCCATCACGGTTCACTACCTATCACTTATCTTCTAGTAGAAATAAAGTGTCAATTACTGATGGTTCCCTTGTTCCCATTTCTGGCAAGGGAAACATCAAGTTGTCTAATACAATTTCCTTATCTTCAGTTCTACATGTTCCTAAGCTTGATACTAACTTGCTTTCAGTCAGTAGTATTACAAAACATCAAAATTGTTCAGTAACTTTTTTTCCCTAACCAATGTGTTTTTTAGGACTTGGAGACAAGGAAGGTGATTGGGACTGGCCGTGAGACGAATGGGATCTATCTGCTTGGAGAGAGTTCTCATTGGGAAGAACGTGAAAATAGGAAGTCTTTTGTTTCTCAGTCTATTAGTCAGGTTATGCTTTGGCATAATCGGTTAGGTCATTTATCCTTTCGATCTTTGAAGAGTTTGTTTCCAAATTTGTTTGAGTTTGTTCAGATGTCAAATTTGAGATGTGAGAGTTGTGAGCTTGCAAAGYATTGTAGAACATCTTATTCCTTGAGTAATAAAAGAAGTAGTAATTCTTTTGATGTGCACACCGATGTTTGGGGCCCGTATCACATCCCTTCTATGGGGGGATACAGATATTTCTTGTTGTTTGTTGATGACTATATCCGTTTTTCTTGGGTTTACCTTAGGAGTTTTCGAGATGAGGTTCCTGCTCTGACCCAGATCTTTCATCAGATGATTTTAACCCAGTTTGGGGTCAAAATCAAAATCTTCAGATCCGATAATGCGAAAAAATACTTTACCAAGCCATTAGCTTCTTATTTGCTTGATCATGGGATTATTCACCAGTGTACTTGTCCTTATACACCACAACAGAATGGGGTTTCCGAGAGGAAGAATAGGCACATATTGGAGGTGACTAGAAGCATTATGTTTAACTCCAATGTGCCTATCCGTTTCTGGGGCAATGCTATTCTTACAACAATGTATCTCGTTAATCAAGTTCCTTCACGGGTTCTTGACATGAAGCCTCCCTTTACCCTTCTATACCCCGATAAAGAATTGTTTACTGTTCCCCTTAAAACCTTTGGTTGCACTTGCTTTGTTCAGATTCTTGGACCTCATCGTTCCAAATTTGATCCTAAGGCCTCCAAATGCATTTTTCTCAGTTATGCACAAACTAAAAAGGGCTATTGCTGCTATGAACCTACTTCTAGGAGGAGATTTGTCTCGATGGATGTTACTTTCTTTGAGGAGGTACCCTATTACCCTAGGGTTTCTCCTCAGGGGGAGAGTAGTGAGAGTGGGGTTAACTCATCAGAAKTTCCTTTACCTGTTCCATTGAGTGATGAGGGATGTAATGGGGAGGGTTGTCAGAGGTGTTAGGATTTGAGAGTCTATCACATGCGGTGGAGGCAGGTTGATTTCGGTCATAAGCAGTCTAGGCCAGCCCCAGTTCCTTCTGCGGATCCAGATCTAGGTCCCCCTGAGATACCTTCCACTGTTGCTACTTTACCTCCTTTGGATGACCTTGACCTCCCCATTGCAGTCCGTAAAGGCAAACAGCGTTGCACCACATCCACAGCTCACTGCATTTCCCAGTTTTTGTCCTATGATCGCATGTCCCCCTCTTACAGGTCCTTTCTCACATCCATTGTTGATATTCTTATTCCCAGAACAGTGCAAGAAGCCTTGTCAGTTCCTAAGTGGAAAGATGCAATGAAGGTTGAAATGGATGCCCTTCTAAGGAATAATACTTGGGAGCTAGTTGACCAGCCTAAAGGAAAGAAACCGGTTGGA